CTTAGAAATATGAGCAGATTTATAAATTTAATTTCCACCTTTGTAATGAGTCCCACATAGTTCATAGCTTGCGAGACACAATCTACTTACAAGATTTTTCAGATTGATACTAAAGTTTAATATCATTTGTAGCATGTCCTTTTAAGTCTGCTTGGAAGATTGCTTGATAATTATGTACAACTGGACAGTAATTAATTTATACATCTAAGGCCTGACATTAACTTAAAAGAATACGAAATGCATCAATCACTTACTCCAATCATCTAGAGAGCAGTGTTTGATCTGTTGAATGCCAGGGATGATATTATGTCAAATATCTCAAGTAACACATGCACACTCATTACCTAAGTTTAATTGCTACATCGGGTCCTAAATATAGGTGGAATCATACATCAAGGAAGCTTTATAAATGTGTTTACAATATGGGCTACCTGGAAAATACAAAATGGCTGAATCCCAGTGTGGTTCTTCTTAGATGATGATTTTATTTAGCAAATACTGGCTGAAAAATTATATTATTGGAGTTGGAAAGGTGTTAAAAGTAAGAATCTTACCTGATGCTTCTTGCATGATGTTTGAATTAAATGTGCATAACAAAATTAAACTTGAGCACATTTACATATAGCTCTGTAAAAGTTCGGATTAATTTAATATATAAGTATGTAACTGAAACTAGGAAGTAAATATATATATATATATATATATATATATATATATATATATATATATATATATATATATATATATATATATATATATATATATATATATAGTAGATCTGAGTGCTCAGAGGAAGAATACAGCTTTGACCTGCGAACTCGAGATAAGATAGTCAATAAACTTAACCAAGACAGTATCATACAATAGTAAAAGTAAACGGAACAAAAATAGAGGTGCTGATTCACAAAGGATGAAGCATTAATGTCATGAAGGAATATTCATTTGCAAAGTTGATACATACCCAAAAACCACAGAAAACAGACACCTATGTAATTGTCAGTTAATAAGAAACCAAATTATATATTGCTGGGAAATGTTAAGTCAAGATAGAAACTAACGATATGATCACTAAAGCTACATTCTATGTAACAAACATAAATTTTGGAAATCTACTGAGCGATGAAACAAATACGTAGTTACGAATATTTACAAGAATCTGTTGAACAGCAAATCTGAAGAACTGCAAAAGGTTCACATATGTCTTCAATGGAACGGGAAAACTAAAAGACGTATTAATAATTTCAAACTAATGATGCTATCGTCCCTGCAAATCAGCCACACGGACGTCTTCCGTTTCACATTCGGAAGAATGTTGAAAACGAGTTGGAAAGACTTTAAAAAATGAGAAGTGGATGGACCAACTCCGTTGGGTATTTTGGTTGTTACCATACCAAAATACACCGATGTAATCAAGATCTTTTTTAAAATGCACTTGTCCAATGAAGCGGTAATACACTAGAGACACATCGAGCCAACAATATATCATCTTATTAACTCATATTGGAAATGTAATCGCCTCATTTTCGAAACCCTCTGCAGTTGAGATATTTCAAAGCAATCTGTACAGTACTAGAGGGACTAAAAGGCACAAGGAATATTATCGAGGACATTCTAATATTTCGTCACATTTAAGGGCAACATGAGAAAAATCTACATTTAATAGTATTTAGGGTTTGACTATTATATTAACACATGTGTGAGTTCAACAAATACAAATTTAGATTAATGATCAGCAAATATATTTCATCCAGATCCAAAGAAAATGGAAGCAATTGAAAGTGAAAGCATTTCATAAACATTTAACAAGTACGCAGTTGTCGGGGCATGACAAACTATTTGGGACGACTTATCCAAAATTATTCATCAATCAGTGATCCTCTACAAACAAAATCCACCATGTAATTAACTGAAAAGCACGATAAAACTAAATTTAGCAAGTGAATGAATAATATTATATTCTGAACCTAGTAATGAAACTCAATTAATTGTAGATGCAAGACCTGTCGGTGTAGGCGCGTTATAAACTCAGAATGGAAAAGTTAATACCTACGCCAACACAACACTTTCAGATGTGATAAAGCGATATTCACAGACGGAACATGAAGCACTAACAATAGTATGAATATGTCTGTACCTATCCAGTTATATTTTGAAGATAATAAGTGACCACAAGCACCTGGATGTCATATTCAACAATCCAAAATTACGACCCCCAGTAAGAATCAGGAGATTAAGAAATTACAAGCATACAATTTCAAGGGCTGAAACTGAATGATTCAAACATTCTGAAGTTGCAGAAGCTTATGTTCAGTTCTCATCCATTACTGTTGTACTCAAATCCATTACCATTGAAGAAACTCAGATCTCTAATTTATAGGTCCATGACCTTCAATATATTATCAAAGCGATAGAATCTGGAAAGTGGAAACAGATTCAAATAAAACAGAGCAAAACCTTGGAAACATTGTGAATTCGCGATCGTTCCAGTTGCAAATTGTATTGTCCCACTGTGTAGCAGGAAACTATTAATACGGAAAGGACTCCAAAATAGAGTAATAGGTCCAGCACATGAAGGCCATCAGGTCATAGTCTTGAAAATGTACAGTTTCTGGTATTAGCAAACAAGCATAGGATTTCTTTCAAAGTTTATACCATGCATTGCATCAGTTCTAAAGCAAATGATGTGGCATCTAAAACTGATAGTTCTTCCGGCCGAACATAGGTGTCAAAATAGCATGGACTTCAGTAGCCCACTTCCATCAGAAGTCTACTTAATGGTACTTGTTGATTACTACTGAAGGAATCCAGTCGTTGAAGTTATTAGCTCAACGTCTGCAAAAGCCATTATTCAGCAAATCGACAAAATATTTCTAACATTTGGAAGAAATAGAAATTGTAAAAGCGAATAATGGAACTTCATTCAGTGGACAAGAGCTTGCCAAGTTTGCCGAATACATAGGAATCAAGCATAGGAAAATCACACCTTTATGATCTCAGGCCAACGGTGAAGCAGAAAGGTTAATGAGGGCAATTGGAAAAGGAATCAAAACAACTAATGCTGAACATATAAGTTATAAACAAGGAATATGCAACTTTTTACACAATTACAGAGTCACACCGCATGCAACAAGCAACAAATCTCCCGCTGATTTGCTACATGGACGAAGCCTGAGACCTGAACTCTTAAAAATACAAATGAACTCAGACTACAACCAAAGTAGCAAAACCGATACTTAGAAAAACGAAAAGATGAAGGGCTACCCAGATCAAACGAGAAAAGCGTAGAACACAAATTTTAGAGTTGGTGATAATGTTCCCGTAAAACAAAAAAAAAAAGCCAGATAAGTTGAAAAGTTATTCAATATCCACATAACATAGAGAATAGATGGTCATGAATCACTAGAAATTCGTCATTCTTCAAGACAGTAAAGAATTTAATCCATTTTTCACCGTCCGATAACCAGAAGATTGATATAAAAATCCAAAAAAGGGTGAAGATTTATATGACGCTTATCCAGCACCAGAATTAATATTAGGAAGACCATCACGAATCAGAAAACCACCAAACTACCTTCCAGATTATGTGTATGCGAAATAATGCATCACTTGTAGAAGCTTTGTTACGTACATTGTGTTGCACAATATTTTCCTTATAAAGTATTGTGTAGATTTAGATATTATCTAACAATAATGTGTATCTCGTCAAATAGCAATTCAGGTTGAACTCTACATTCAGTACAACCCAATACTTTACTTCGACTAAACCGTGAAAACTGCAAAACGTCTTCGCAAAGTTCTAAGTTGACCATTTTGAACAATATTAGAAAATAAAAATTGTTTAAACTCATAGATGTGTATTATGTGAATACCTGTAGTTATGAAATACATTGTTTATCATTTTCGAAATATACTGAACCGATTTTCGATTTAGAAACATTTATTTTAAATCGGAAAGAAAAATATGATATTGTATTCTAGAAGCAATGTTATATGTTAATACAATAAACAAAACTGTCATGAGCGACTTCTCCTATGAGAGACTACCTATCATTTTCGACAACAATCTTAATGCACAGATCGATTTTATATTTTGACTGTATATTTTGATATATTTTATTATATCAACGCTCTGTTATGAGCGACCTCCTGCTGAACACGACCAGCAACTGCAATGTCTTAGCAAAATACTTATTTCCACACAGCTATGAACGACCGCATCGCAAAAACCAAGATAAACTCCACTTACCTTTATTTATTAATCTCTGTAAGAACGACCTCCCATGTCTCACTGGGTTGTTTCTTATTTTGACATATCCCTAATTGTTAAGGTAGAAGGAATGAATCTAATTATCATAAGCCTATCATTTATAAATTCACACAGAAGCGAAATATGAAATGTGGTTAAGATTTACTTTGAGTAAGGCTTGAAAATGTGTTAGCTTGTTTTGGTGACTACCTGTTACAGTTAGACTAGCATTGAAGATAAAAATGCGTAACTTGAGCTGCAAATAAATAGCCGACTTGGATTACGTATTTACGCATGTTTGCTACAGAGGCAAATATATAAAAATCGAGATGGTTGAGGGGTGATGAAAAGTATACCAATTTGTTATAGTACTAATAAACTTTATTAATGCATATGGCACATATTGATTCATTTAACCGTCTTTCCACATGAAAATATTTAAAGCAGCTCTTTTCTGTCAAAATTAAGGCTTGGTGGCGGTGTTGGTTCAGCATAAAAGCCACCAGTTGTATGTGTGTGTGACTTGAACCTTTAACGTAGCTTTCACAATTTATTCAGTCATATCGCTTTGACTTCTGCTGCAGTGTGGTAGTTTATAGTGATCTCTGGCACTGGGGCATCATGCTGCAGACATGTAGCATGATGTCCTATCCAGTCACATTATCCTAATACCAGGCCGAGCAGTCCTAACACTAGCTCCTTATTGCTGAACTCCAAGCGATGCAACTCTTAGTACCATTTTTTAAAAAGTCTTTGATATGACTCGGTTTGGGGATTGAACCCACGACCTCCCGCATCAGATGCAGATGCTCTAACTACTAGGCGGTCACCAGTTCTATAAGGAAATAACCTGATTGGTGCAGTCACAATTTTACATGCATACTTACTAAAAAATTATTTTTTATTTGTATCTTCAGTGTAAAATTATTCTCAATTTTCTGCAGCAGGTTATTGTCTGCTGAAAATTTACCAGATAAACTGTCCCGTGAGACCTAACTAAAAGCAAGTAACATAAAAATTGGCTAGTTACCGATGTCTGAATATTTTAGCTATGCTTATAGGTGTTATAGTTTCTGTCTTAAACTAGACTAAAGTATATGTAGATTATTTTCTAGTTTGGTTCCCTGCTTCGTAAGCTCCCTGCGTGTTCGCAGGGAGCATAAAAAGCAGGGAACCAGACTAATTATTACCGCACTTAGCCTGCTTCCCAGTCTTAATCGCAGGACCCGACATCCATATGAACGAGAGTATCGCGATAACAGACTGACACCACTGACCTATATGTAGTCAATTGTTACAATGACCGCTTGATTAGTAACGATTGTTCTGATGCAAAACAGAGGTTAGATATATTTTTTTTTGAAAATGAATTGTTGCTATTAATGATGGATGCTACAGTTCGTAAACCAGTACGTTGCATCATGTCACAATTAATAGTTCTGGTTCAGTACCCGAGAATGTAGTCTCAGTCTATTTGTAGAGCATTTTTTCTTGTCTCCTTTTGGTGGTGATACAAGAGTTAGATTTAGGCATTCTTGGTAGGAATTTAAAGGTAATTGTTTATTCTTTAGAATATGAGCTTATGGTGTGGTTGTCTGTGTGTATTTCGGCGACACTATACAGTGAGTAATACGATCTTGGTGATAATTCGGAAGTGAAATCTGTGTTCCATTGCACGTTGTTTTGTTGACAGTCTAACCTTTTCTAAAAAAATGCCGATGAACCTTTGACAATAACTTTACCATGAAGTCATCTTTGATGGTATTTTATATTAACATATGATATATATTGATTGTCACAGAGTGGAAAGTTCAGTACTGAGAAACAAATGTAGAGAATTTATAGTAAAATAAATTGTATTCTACGGCAGCATGTAACGAATTGCTGTTGTGGTGCCAAAGTTGATTTAGTGGTCGCGTATATTTTTTGTCTTTAGAATTAATCCGTTTTGCCGGGTTGAATAAGGTCATTATCTATTAAAGGAGAAAGAGAGAATCGTTTGTGGAATCCGATTGATAGTGTTCAAGACTTTTGGTGTTTGTTGTTTTTCTCCCCGAGGTTAAGTGATTACACCCCGATCAAAAAGCTGCCGGCTATTCAAGTTGGTGAGACCCAGTTACACACTTAGATTATAGAGTTAATCCTAGTATGTCACCTTTGAATGAGGCCGTTGACTTTTGTTTCTTAGTAAATGGTTCTATTTTTGGATGAGACAGTTGTTTCTTTTTATTTCATTAATTGGTAAATATGCAAGGCACATGTATAGATTTTGCGTATTTACTCACAGCCAGTTCAAAAACGCCTTTACGTTCGCTATTACAACTAATTTTAACAACTAGAACCTTAATGACAATAAACGAACCTCCAACTAAAAAGATGCAAATTTTAAGGCTGGAGAAAATAATTATTGTAACTAAAAGAAGTAAAAAAGAGCAGACCGGTTGCAAAAAAAAAAAAAAGCGGTTCAAAAGTCGGTCAAACAAATTTAGGTTTCTATAAGGATAAAGAAGAATATTTAAAAAAAACAAAAACAAAAACAAAAACAAAAAAAAAACAAACAGTTTTATATGCTAAAATAAGTGATCCTCGAATGAAAAATGTTATTTCATATTTAATGACAGAAGTATATCTATTGCTATAAAATTTTGTTTTTTTAGATGAATGCATGCATTTTTTTTTAGCAAGAAACACTAATAAAGAACAGAATATATGTACAGTGATTGTGGTTATTGTGATTGTGGTTATTTTTCTTTCAACTGCTCTCAAACTGGACCATAGAAACTGTTTTTTTTTTTATTTTATTTTTATTTTTAAAAATCTGCTATGAGAGATCACCTGTCTTGAGAGACCGCTTTTTGTTGACTGAAGGGGTGGTCTTCAATAACAGATTTTAAAGTATAGACTTTCCCAGCTGCTGAAGCAGCAACTTGTATATATTAGACGGACACATGATGCTAGATGTAGGTCTGACAAGCAAGACAGATAAAGTATTGTACCATGGAGTATACGAGTTTGTACAAACAGGTGCTTTCATCTCATTGCAAAACCCAAACATTACAAGTGGTGTTCTTAGCCGCACGAAGACATACATGATAAAAACCATTTAAGTGTGAGGTTTTTTGAAAGAATGCTTTGTCTCATTGGAACTCGGAATAAGACCACGAAAACACCTGGAAAGATCATATTAGTGTGAAGCATGTAATAAAATGTTTTGTCACAGTGGAAATTTGAACAAGCACATGAGGATACATACTGGGGAAAAACATTTTGAGTCTGAAGTATGTGATAAAAGCTTTAGTTGTGGTGGAACTGAATAAGCACACGAGGACACAAAGTAGATAAAAACCATATAAGTGTGAAGTATGTGATAACATGTTTAGTCAAAGTGGAAGTCTGAATCAGCATATGAGGATGTATACTCGAGAGAAGCCATTTACGTGTGATGTATGTGATAAATGTTTTCGTAACAGTCGAAATATGAATGAGCACATGAGGATACATACTGGAGAAAAACCATTTAAATGTGAAGCATGTGATAAATTGTTTAGTCAAAGCGGAAGTCTCAACCGACACATGATGATACACTCTGGAGAAAAGCCATTTAAGTGTGATGTTTGTGATAAAAGGTTTTATCTCAGTGGAAATCTGAATCAGCACATGAGGGTACATACTGGAGAAAAACCATTTAAATGTGAAATATGTGGTAAAAGTTTTACTCAGAGTAGACTTATGACTCAACACAAGAGGATACACACTGGAGAAAAACCATATGAGTGTGAGGTATGTTACAAAATGTTTAGTCAAAAGTCCGCTCTGAACAGGCATATGAGGTCACATGCTAGAGAAAAATCTTTTAAGTGTGAAACATGTGCTGAAAACTTTAGTCAAATTGGAGAGTTGAAAACACACAGGAGGGTACATACTGAAGAGAAGCCATTTAAGTGTGCAGAATGTAACAGAGTGTTTAGTTTGGGTGGACAGCTAATATTGCACATGAGGATGCATACTGCAGAAAAAACATTGGATTGTGAAGTGTATGGATGAAGGTTAAGTCAAAGTGGGACTATGAATTAGCACATGACAGTACAAACTGGAGAAAAAACATTTAAGAATTGGCCAGTTTAATAAGGATTGAAAGTGTGTGTTTGAAGGTTAAGTCAAAGTGGAACTCTGAATCAGCACACGAGAATGCATACTTCAGAAAAAAAAGCTATTTAAGTGTGAAATAGGTGGTTAAAGATTAAATTAAACTGGATCTCAAATCAGCATAGGATGATACACATGGGAGAAAAACAAATAAGTGTGGAATATGTAATAGACTGTTTAATCAAGATAAAAGCGTTTAAGTGTGAAGTTTGTAGTAATGTTTTTGGTTAGAAAGGACATTGCATGAGGCATATGACAGGACAAATATCATGTATGTGAGAAGCATGTGATAAAATGTTTAGTCAAAGTGGAATCTGAATGGAACATGAGGATAGATACTGAAGAAATGCCATATAAGTGTGAACAACATGTATATGATAAAAACTTTAGTCTCAATGGAAATCTGAATAAACAGTTAAGAGCACATGCTGGAGAAAAAAAAAAACATTTAATGATATAATGATGAAAAATATATTCATAGTGGAAATATGTAGAGGCAAATGGTGATACTTACTGGAGAAAACCATTTAAATGTGAAGTATGTAATAAAATTTGACTTGATGAGATCTATAAAACACATGCAGATACATGCAGCAGAAAAACCATTTAGGAGTGAAGCGTGTTACCACATAATTTACCCAAAACTTGCCTAAATTCACAACCAACATGGTGTAAATGAAAGGAAACTCCCAACAAACTATAAGAAATATTGGAAAATATACTGTTTGTTGAAACAGAAAACAAATTATGGTGCATTTCATGTTTACATGGGATGAAAATGAAACACGGGAGAAAACTTTTACTGAATTCATCACCAGAGAGCTTGTTGTCAAGTCAAAATAGACCCAGTCAATAAGTCCCAAGTGAAAATGGCCTCATTGTGAAGTAAATAATGGACCAACAATGTCAATCATATCAATGGAAATGAAGATGTGTCATGTGATTATGATTTTTAACATAGCTATAATAATTTTTCAGTCATATCGCTATGATGTCTGCAGTGTAGCAGTTTATAGTGATGTCTAGCACTGGGACATCATGCTGCAGACATGTAGCATGATGTCCCACCCATTATCCTGACAACAGACCAACCATTCCTAACAATACCCTCTTAATGCTGAGTGCCAAGCAAGGAAGCTGTTAGTATCATTTTTGTAAGTCTTTGTTATGACTCGGCCGAGGATTGAACCCATGACCTCTCGCATCTGTGGCTCACGCACTAACCACTAGGCCAACGAAGTGGTCCTAAAGATGGAGATGAAGAAAATAACATGTACAAGGCATTATTAATGTTTGAATATGTATTTGTTAATAATTATTTCTTGCTACAGACTATAGGAATATATTGTATTTCTTTTTGATGATTTGTTTAAATTCTCGAGGGATATTTTTGTCAATCATGTGAAGTAAATAATGGAGCATACCTATTAAATTAGAGTATAAAAGAAAGAAGTTTAACATTTACACAACTATTATACAGCTAAATTTAGTTATTTCAGGTGGTATTTTTATTAGATTTAGAAGAGAAGATATATTTGTGTAAAAATTTGGTAAATTCTCTCTGTAATAGCTAATTATTGGATATGTGTCGCAGAAGAGTAACTCTTTAGTCATTGCTAAATTCAGAGGCTGAGATTCTGGGTGAATATGGGTGTGGGGTTACAGTGTTAGCTGAGAAATTGAAATAAAG